ATTTTCTTTGTCATTTTATTCAGCTGTATATTCATATTTTCTTGTGTTTCATTCAGGAGTTCATTCGGATCCTCTTTCAGTTTTTTGAGGTGGTGTGTGTGTGTGTGTGTGTGTGTGTGTGTGTGTGTTTCTTATTAAATGTATTTTTTTAACGTGCGTGGTTGCTATGTCTGCCTGTTTGAACTCTGGATAAATAATAGTTTTCATATAAATTGACTCCAACGCAGGAAAGGTTGCATTAACCCCATGGCAGTTTTCTTCATCAGAAAGAAATGGTAGAGAGCCTCTTCTCACCTTCAGTGACCATTTCCCACCCGATTTGCCCACCAGGAGTTAATTCTTCAGTTTAATATTCTGTTCTTTCATTCAGGTATTTGCCTTTGATTATTGCTTTTGGTCCATGGATGAATCGAACACCACAAAATATGCTGGTAAGTTGGCATTTTCATTTGGGCCTCTGGCCTCATCCGTTATATCTATTTTCTTTAATTATTCTGGAGTTTTGTTTTCCTATGTATCTCACACCCTCTCTCTCAAGGTCTAGCATGTTGCTTTGGAAGTCAGTGGGATTTGGCTGCAGTACTTGGCTCTTGTCACTTACTTGCTAAGCAACCTTAGACAAGATTTTACAACCTCATTAGAAAGGCGGCTGTGTTGGGGCTGGAGAGATGGTGCAGAGGTTAAGAGCACTGGCTTCTCTTCTAGAGGACCCAAGTTCAGTTCCCAGAACCCACATAGTGGCTAATTACCATCTTTAACTCCAGTTCCAGGGAATCTGATGCCCTCTTCTGGCCTTGGTGGGCATTGCACACACATGGCGCATTTACATACACGCAGGCAAAACATTCATCCCCATAAAATAAAAATAAATCTTAAGAAAGGTGGACATGGTACAGTACATTTAAAATTTCAGCACTGGGGAAGCCAAGGCAGGAATTCAAGGCTGAGCTATATGTCAGGTACTGGGCTAGGCAGTGCTGTTGTAGCAAGACTCCGATTACTGTTCTGAAAACCTCATTTGTTTCCAGGTGTTCACCTGATGTCATTTTCCTCAGTGATGCTCCCAGGTTGGGAAGTCACCTGAGGTCAGAACTGTTGCAATTATCACATGAAGAAGAGGCTCCCTGGCCAGGTCTTCTTTGCCACTGTCTGTCAGGAGTCCCCAGCTCTGTGTAGCAGAGGTCTCTCAGCCTTCCCCAGACATTGCTGTCATCCACAAGGAAAGCATTTGCTTCTCTCCCTTCTCTTGTAACCCCCAATATTTTCTTCCATTAATTATGTTTTGTATTATTTCTGTTAATTCTTTGAGAGTTCTTTGAGAATTTCATACGATGTTTTGGATCATATTTACGTCCCTCAACTTCTCCCAGATCCAACCCCCTTCCCAGCCCACCTAACATTGTGTCCTCACTTTTAAAATTGATTATAGAGTTGCATAAAATTATCTTGTATAACTGGATGTTTTGAAAGAAGTATATTGTGAATGACTAACTCATCTAATTAGCACATGTATTGTCCCACATTTTTTGGTACATAGAATCCTTAAAATCTTCTCTCAGGGATACAGTACCTGTTACTACCTGTACTTACCACGGGGCAGGGTAGAGCTACTGGACTAGATAATTCATTTCAATAAGTATTTTCTCTGTAGTTGTGCTAAGAGCATCAGTTGAATTTCTTTCTCATTTAAGTTTAAAAATAATAGAGGAAAATGTAGTGAAGATTTAGAGAGGTCTGGGGAGATGGCTCAGTGGTAAGGTGCTTGATGCACAAGTATGAGCACCTGGATTCAAAGATTTAGCACCTTCATCAAAGTCCAGACGGCACGGCATTCACTTGGAATCCCAGCACTGGGAGGCAGAGACAAGAAAGTCCCAGGGGGCTTGTTGCCCAACTAGTCTAGCTGAACTGGGGAGTTCTGGGTTGAGTGACTGCGCCTCAAAAAAAATAAATAAATAAAGAGGACAGTGATAGAGGAAGACATGTTATGTTGCCTTCTGGCCTTTGCATATGCACACACATGCATATGTTCATGCACAGACACATATACCTACATACAACACACACAGCAAACGATTTAGCGGTAAAAGGAAGTTACTTGCTTATAGAAAGTTAACTGTCATTTATTGTTAGTATTTTCCTTGTCACATAAAACAAACTTATTGAGAAATTGTTTGATAAATGCTTCAAAAGTTAGTCATCTCAAATTAGAGAGAGTCCTTCAGTGGTTCACATGGTTATGTTAGCTTCTCCAAATCTCTTTCCTGCAACATCAGCAACATATTTTATTAAAAGGAAGAACTGACTCTTCATGGTAGTTGTACTTAGATGGTCTTTTCATCATCCTTTGGGACTTTAGATAGTAGATTCTGCAGAGTCTGGAACAGATCATCTTGACTGTTAGTAATCTACATCGTTTTGTGCTGGGTGTATGCTTTTTAGAGTTAAATCAACAGAAGGGAGACATTTTCTATAGCTGCAGAACAGACCCCGAGCTATGCAGAGGTCCTTTTCTTACCACATTCATTTGATGATGATTAGGATGCAGGCACAAATACTTACCTGGACCCTTAGCACCTGCCGGTTAAACTCCATGCATTTCATGGACCAAATTTAATGGGCAGCTCCCGCCTACCTCTGACATCCCTTTGTGTAGTCCCCCTCCCCATTCTCTGTCTCAGTCCATTGTTAGTATTAGTTATTCATCTGTAATCCAGGAAGCTGGAAAATCTCAGGACAATCCCTTAATTTACACACCGGAAACCCTTGAGAAATAAAAATAAGTTGGCATGCAAAACAAAACACTATATCAAACAACATTTTGTCGTACTAGTTCAGCTTGAAATATTCCAGGGTTTTTCTGTGTGTATGTGTGTTGTATCATGATGGTGTTGTTTTTGACAGTCTCACTGTGTAGATCAAGCTAACCTCTAACCCTCTAGGTAGTCCAGGCTCCTTCAACTCATGATTCCCCTTGCCTGTGCCTGGGATCCAGGCATACACCAGCATTCACAAATTTTAAGTGCCATAGAAATTCCAATGAGGGACAGTATGAACTGGTTAAGTTGCTAAGGAAAGTGTCACAGAGACGGTGCTAAGCCTAGGAGGAAAAAAATGGTATTTGAGATGGTGCATATGTTAAATTGCCTGATTTAGCCACTCCACAATGTGTACACATATCAAAATGTATTGTTTTTGCCAACTGAATTTTTTTTTAAGTCAAGCATAGGGTTTAAAGGGTAATGTAAGCTGGGCATGGTGACGCACGCCTGTAGTCCCAGCACTTGAGAGGCAGAGGCAGGCAGATCTCTGTGAGTTCAAGGCCAGCCTGGTCTACATAGTAAGTTCCAGGACAGCTAGGGCTACAGAGATACCCTGTCTCAAAAAAAAAAGGGGATGGGGGGTGGAATGTAGAAGGCATCCAGACAGGAAGTGCTGTGATATTGAGGCAGGACCATGGACCTGATGTCAGGTCTGGGTTAACATCTCAGGATGCCTACTTTGGGTCTTTGGGATAAATTTGTTAATTTCTGTGAGCTTCATCATCTTTTCTTACAATAGAAATGGTACCTGCATACCTATGCTGTAGGTTGTTGTAGCGGTTAACTAGGGAACTGTGCATGCTGATTGACAGGATGTACCTGTAAATGAGGCTTCACTTGTGTTTCCCATAGGGAGTGGGATGGGCATGGTGATGGCAGGGTCATGAGCAGGGGTTCATTGGAGCTGTGGTGACAGGAAGTTCTCAAAGGTAAACTATGAAATTTCAGGTGAGAAATGGGGGCTGTTGGCACATGTGTTTAAGACAATGCTTCGGGAAGATCATTTTCCTCTTTTTTGTCTCCATCCCCTCAACTCGGCTCTGATGGTTGCCAAAGAGACCACTATAGCCTCCAGTGGCACAGAACTCAGGGTTCACAAACTCTAATTTTTAGCCAAATACTTCATTGGAGACAGATGACAAAATTCAGTGGTGGAACTTAAGATTTGATAAATACTATGGTCAGAAATATTCAAAAGATAAAAATGATTTTTAATGTACCGTCACCTAAAATTTAGTAAATTTTGGTTGCATAATCACTTCAAATACTATGTTCCAGTTAACTTTAAAAAATGCCTAGACTCATCTTCACAGTGCTGGGGGAAGGAGGCAGAATCTTATTTTATAGGTATCTTCATTATTAAACAAATACTACAACCCTCTCAACGAAAGTAATTCTTGGTTGCTGCTCTCCCAAGTGTTTGTCTGTTATGCGGAATTTTCCTCATAAGCGTATCACTTGTAGATCAGCTCTTTTGGTTTCTGTGCTGATTCGATTTCCGTTTTCTTCACTCAGAAGAAATAGCGATTCTTAACTGTGAATAGAAACTCGAAGATAGACGCATTCATTCTCTGGTGAGAAGTAGGGAAATGGAGAGGGGGAAGCCCAGATTTCTTGAACCAACCTATTTGTCAGGCTCCATGAATAATGGCATCATTGATGCTGAGTCGGGGCTCTCAAAGCAGCGCTCAAAACTGGGGTCTGGCAGGGCAAGGGGGAAGCACATGGACCGAGAGGGCCAAGGGATGCCAGGGCCCTTGAGTGTCATGTGCTCTCTCAAAATACTAAATTCTCAATGAGGTTTTGCTGTTTGTTAAAAGCTATTACAAGAGCCTCTACTCTTTGGCTTTTCAACTTGAAACTCTTAGATCTCTAGGATCTACACCGCACTTCAGGGGTTGCTTGAGTGCTTGACGAACGTGGGGTCTTACATCAGACTGTTGGGGTTCCGACCCTTGGCTCTCCCAC